CCAGCAACAGTTAACTATAGGGAATCTCCTGGAATCAGTTTTCCTGAAAACATTTTCTGACATGTAAGAGCTACTTACAAATATTATCAGGAGCTCCTTTTGATTTTGTTTTATTTTGGTATGAATTATTTTTAAGCCTAAATTCTAAAACTAATACCCATTATTAAACAGTGGTTGTAAATTTTGTTCATGCTATAAATGTATTATTTCATTTAAGAATTCAACTACATACACTATTGCCAGTGGATCAAATGGAGTTCTACAGCTTTGGAGGTCTCAGAAATCTAAACACAGAGTGAAGAATGCATTAAGAGAATAAAATATTGTGTTTAAATCTCACATATTACATCTTACATCATCAAATGTAGTTTGAAGTTATGAGTTTTACACTTGAACTAAAAACCTTGTTCAGAAGCATCTTTGATATAATAGGTTACCCTGTGTGTGTCTTTCTTTTGTTTTGTATGTTTGTTTTTTGGGACAGGATCTCAAAATCTGGAGCAGGCTGGCTTCAAGCTCACCTCAAGCTCATGACTGTCATGACTCCACACTACCTCCCAGTGCTGGGATGACAAGCATATACCATCACATCCTACTGGGTTTCTAGTTTTGATTCAACCATTTTCTTTTATAGTTGTGCTAACTTTGACTTTCTTTCCACTGTTCTACAGTGATAAAATATTTAATTGGTTTATTTCAATGAAATTATAAAACTAGGGATTAATATGTATCTTGACATACATAATTCCTTACTTAAAATATAAGCATCTTGTACATGTAAATATACTATAAACATCTGTCATTGAATCTCTCTATCTTGTGCCACTCAGGGATGATTCTCGTGTATTCCATGGAATTTGCAAAAAGACAGCTTTCTTTTGTTTTCTGTGGTTGCCAAAGTGCATCATAACCCGCCTGAATATTATTGTGAGCATTTTCTGTAGCAGAAAAATCAGTGAAAAATACTTTCCAGAGTTGATAAAACTTTCTGGAAGGAACAGTACCCCATAAAAGAAATATCTATAGTCACAGGAAATAATATATCAAAGAGTGGTGAATTTCACTTACTTGAAAAGTAGCCTTTTCTCTGAGCATAGCACACTCCGAGGCCACACACAGAAATCACTAAGGCCACAACTACTACTGCTGCTATAATGCCACTTATGTTGAGATCATCTAGAATGTGAAATAAGTTCACAGATTTATTTATAGATAGATGCCATCATCAAAACAAAAGAGCTCATAAAAGTCCCCTTAGTTAGCTATGCTAAGGATGGCTTCCTGCTTTTGAAGTCTATTCACCTGATTCACCTCCAAGACATGGCTCAAAATCAACTGAAAATATCCAGAGAACATTGGATGAACTGTAAACTTTAGGACCAACAAGATGGCTCAACAGGTTAAGGTACTTGCTGCCAACCCTAATGACCTGAGTTCAGTCTCTGGTCCAGGGTGGAAGGAGAGAACCAGTTCCCACAAGTTGTCTTCTGACATCCACACATGCACCTGTGTCTCTGTGTGTGTGTGTGTATACAAATAAATAAATGTAGAGAAAAGAATCTTAAACCTTAAAAGTTCTGTGATCCATAAATAAAATGTATACTACTCTCTTGCATTCATTTGGAGATGTAATTAATTAATCACAGGATTAAAATATGGCCAGACGCTTTCTCAGAAGTTCAATGAGTTTAAGTATTCTACTGCCATCCCTCTACCCCAAATGTTTCTTAAAATTCTTCTGTATCACCACGGGTGTCAGTTATACAAGGAACAGAAAACTCAGCTTCAAAACTTGACATCAGAAACATTTTCCTTCTTGAATTTATATGGGTATGTGTACTCATACACACAGACCCATACATGGATACACCATTCGTATCTCATTGAGCTGTCCTGTAACTTAATATAGCTAGACTCTTTTGGGCCCAAGTTCCAAATGACTACCAAGTTGTCAACTGCACATGAATATTGCAAATTTGTGTACTCATATCTACATTTCTGTAAGTGCACTGAAAGAAATGAATTTCTGATCTCACAAAACAGATGACAAGGGCTTGTCAGATGGCTCAGGGGGTAAGGATGCTTACCATGAAACTAAGTAAGTGTTTTTGGGGTTTGAAAGCAGAAGACAAACTCCTATAAGAAGGAACACCCTCAGTATTCTCTTTGTTTTTGTTGATGTTGTTTTATCACAGTCTCCCTACAGCCCCAGCTGGCCTGGAACTTGGTATGAAGAGCAAGCTGCCACAGATCTCACAGAGATCCACTTGGGTCTGCCTCGGAGTGCTGGGTTTAAAGGTATGCGCCACCACATCTGGCCCTAGAAACGATTCTTAAGCACTAATTCTGTTGGATTCTAAGATCTTTTGTGAATATAATCTATCATATCTGTGCTTTTATAGCAACCTAGATCCATAACTTCCACATGTTTGGATTACCTATGCTGCAGTTATATGCGCTCACTAGTGTTTCAGGATATTGAGAAAATAATCATCAGTGACGTGATAACAATAACCTAGATGGCTAACACTGAGAAAATGCTCACAATACACAACATACTGCAACACTTCAAGTATTATGGTAGTGTTCACAGTGACCCCATGAAGAAGGCCACTGAGGAGACCAGCATTTCTCAAGTGAATTGCAGCACTGTAAGTGGACCCTTCCCCCCATACAGATTCCTAGGCCCCCAGCAATACATGTGACAATACAATCAACTTTGATTTGAAAGAGAGAGCCTATTTTTAGAACCCTTATTTAAAAAGTCTCAATTTTGTTAAGTGCAAGGTAAGTACTCGCCTGAATTAGAAGAAGGGCTAAGAACAGCATTCTTTGCAATATTAGGCTAATTTTTAAACATTTTTCATATTTGTCCTTGAGATCACTCATCTCTTTCTAGCCCTTGCTCCTTTAACTGCCCAGTATCTACACTCCACTCACAAGCCAGGCATTCTTTTGTATATCCCATGCTTACCTACTTGCATTCGCTTCCCAGAACACCTGCGATGTCCAACAGAGTTACGGGCTTCGCAATAATACTCTCCGCTGTCCAGCTTGGAAATAGTGTTAAATTGCTATTTGTGGGAGAAAAAAAATAGACATTTCAACTATAAATGTATGAATAGACTCTAAAATAACCATGGTCTTTGAATTTTATCAAGTTGATCTGTCATTTTAATGACTTTGAACTTTATATCTTTCCTGTGGATTCAAATATCTGGCAAGACTTCAAGGAGTAAATCACTAGATTCCTGTTTAATTTAGCAGAAAAAGACTTAAGTGTATATGATAAAGTGCCCCCCACCTCTTTCTCTTTTTCTTCCTCTTCCTCTCTCTCTCCTCCTCTCTCCTTGCCCCCCACCCCCACCCCCTCCCTTTCTCTTTGCCCCTCTCTTTTGGCAAGATGTCACTGTGTTGTCCAGACTGGTCTCAAACTCTTGATCCTCCTGCCTCAGTAAGTAATTGTGTGCCACCTCACCCCAGTATTTCTACATCCGGGGACACTATTATAAAGGAAGGCCTCTCTGGGGAAGGTTTAGTGCACTTTTCTCAGTCGCCATGCACTTGACTGTAGCAACAAGTCTTGAGCATGCTCTCTGAAGTGCCTGAGCTGCCACCAGGAAGTAGGTCAGGGTCTAGAAACCTAAGCTGGTGCTTAAAGGTTTATAAATAACAATTCCAGAACATTGAGAAGTTCTGAAAAGATAAAAGTTGAGCCTTCACGCCTTCTCCCTGCCAAGTGACTGAGGTAAAATTTTGATTAAAAAGACTTCATAATTTATACCGGTACTTTTATACCTTTGGAGAATTTCTGGAAGGAATGAAGACAGAAAAGAAGGCAGGAAGGAAAGAAGGGAGGGACGGAGGAAGAGAAGGAGGGGCGAGCTCAGGAAAGAGAATGCACACTATACCAAGAATCAGCTAGAACCAATTCAGAAGTTGAGAGCTGCTGAGAGCCACCTTTCAGCGCCCACCCTTCTGGGACAGCCTCAGGACTGCAGAGTCACCACTGGCCTCATTCATGGAGCTTGAACCTGAAGCTCCACCTCCTGTAACTGCTCTTCTCAGGAAAGAAAAAGAATGCACACTATACCAAGAATCGGCTAGAACCAATTCAGAAGTTGAGAGAGCCACCTTAGCCACCTTTCAGCACCCACCCTTCTGGGACAGCCTCAGGACTGCAGAGTCACTGCTGGCCTCATTCATGGAGCCTTGAACCTGAGGCTCCACCTCCTGCAACTGCTCTTCCTAGGACAGCCCAGGATTTGACCTATTAACTCACCCTCCTCTTTGACTTCACTCACTGTCTACAGCTCCTTTCTTCCTGTGCATCTCAACATGGTACCACAGAAAGCTCTTTATGACTTGTTTTCATTCTATGGAATCGTTATCTCTTCCCCTACAAAAGCCAAAATACTTTTAGAATGTGCTCTATAAATTTGGGGTCCAGGCAATGTATAAATAACAAGTTAGGCTAAAACCCCAAATGATCTTCCAGTGCACTATAACTGGTAGTTAACAGGAAGACACTGGCACTGGAGTCTGCTCATTTCTTTCAAAAGAGGCACTCTAGTTCCCACTCCTGGGGCCTTACCAGACAACTCAAGGCCTGAGATTCCCTAGGAGAGTGGAGCTGCAGCATCTCAGACTTACCTTGGGGCCTATATTACCTACTCTGAGAAAAAAAATAAATTTGAAGGGTAAATATAGCACAGTGTGATGGCAAGTTTTCTGCCCAGTTTCACAGTATGAAATCACTTGGACCTGCTGACTGCTCCTGCTGATGGTGGAAAAGGCCAGAGCATTGCCTTATTCAGGGAGCAGCATCCCCTGGTGCTTGCTTCATGTAGCTACAAAACCAACACACTTTGCTGGGCATCAGATCTAGTGAATGTTACTCTGCACTCTTAGAACGAAAGGAAGCACACTTTTTTTACTCTCTGAAAAGTCATTGATGAAAAAGTAAAAATACCTTTTTTTTTTTTCCGTCTTTTTGAGACAGGGTTGCCCTGTAGCCCCACCTGGCCTGGAACTCACTATGTAGACCAAGCTGGCTTCTATGAGATCTGCCTGCCTCTGCCTCCCAAGTGTTGGGACTAAAAAATACCCTTTCTAAAATGTCATTAACTTAGGGCTAGATAGATGGCTCAGTGACTAAGAGTACCGGCTGCTCTTCCAGAAGACCCGGCTTCAATTCTGAGCACCCACATGGTGGCTAACGACTATCCATAACTCCAGTTCCAGGGGATCCAACACCCTCTTCTGGCTTCTGCAGGCTTTTCATGACATGGGCTCACTTACATACATGTAGGCAAAATGCTCATGCACATAAAATAAAAATAAATAAATCAAAAAACTTTAAATGTTATAACTTTAAATAGCTTATTAATAGGGCTCTATCAGAATCCCTAGAAAGGTGTTTCTAGCAGAATATTTTAAAGGAAGAAACAACAGAAAATCTGGACCAAGTTTATGGAAATAGATATTCAAGTCACAGGAACAACTCTGGGGGATCTGGAGCCTTGGAAAGTTTAATGACTCAGACTTTCCTAACACTGTTTCTTTGTGCTCACTGCTTCCAAGTGGTTAGCACTAGGGTCTAGATATCCCCAAGTAAGCTTTGATGCATTTTGTCAGTGGTATAAATTGAGACTGTGCTTAGTACTTTCCCAGGCCAGGCAGGTAGCTACAGAGCACTGCCAGATCCGTTATGAACAGGCTTTGGCCTGCCCCAAGTTACTGGTCACACTTTTTGTGCTCAGCTGCCTAGTTCCTATACTGTCTTCCTACCTCCTGCAGTAGTCCTATCATGTCTCAGTGCATTTACCATCATCGGTCCTGCTCCCACCTCCTCTCCCCACTTAGTAAGCAGTTCTACATCATTTTAAGTTGCAATAACTTCTTATTACAATGACAGTTATTAGGCCAACGCTTGAAATGACCTTACCAAAGTTCCGGATTTTGTATTCATTGTATATGAGCTGTTGGTGCTTTGTAAGCCAATTCTTTGATTCTCTAGCAAACGAATGCCATCTTTAAACCATGTGTATTCAGGAGCTGGATTCCCTTCTTTATCTTGACATCGTAGCTCTACCACAGTTCCACTCAGAGCAGAAGTGGGCACTTCACATGATGGAACTGCTGGAGCCACTGAGCAAAAGAAACCAAACATTTCAGATTACTCATAAGCTGAACATGGGTTTTAGTAGTCCATAGGGATGTACTTCATAGACACCTAAGATATAAATGGGTCACCTATTCAATGGACACATTTCCTTTTTTTTCTTAGGCACACAATAGACTACATTTTCTAGCCCTCTTGCTACTAGATGGGGTCATATGCATTAGTTTTGGGCAATGAAATGTAAAGTAAAAGTGATACTGCTATTTCTATGTCTGACCTGTTAAAACTTCATGTGATTCATTTATCCCCACCTATGACCAAGTAGTTGTCAATACACTTAGAGAACCATGTGTTGAAATGTCAGACCTATATTTGGTTGAGTCCCTTAATTTCATAAGGTAGAATGTTACCGTTTGAATAAGAAATGCTCAAGTATTTGAACACTTGGTCCACAGCTGGTGGTGCTATTTTGGGAGTTTGTGGAAGACGTGGGTCATTGAGGGCTGGCCTTGAGGTTTATAGCCTAGCCCTGCTCACTGTCTCTTCTCTGCTTTCTGGTCTGCCAGGAGGTAAGCAAGCAGCCTCCTGCTCCCACAGCCACAGATGAGCTGGTCCCATCCCCATGCCTTCCCCACCATGATGGACTTATGTCTCATCAAAACATGAGCCTTTCTTAAGTTGCTTCTTCTCATGTAGATGGTCACAGAAATGAGAAAAGTAACTAATAGAGAAAATTAGTACTAAGAAGTGAACACATTGCTGGGATCATCTGACCATTATAGTTCATAGCCTTTGAAAATCATTTGCAGTGGGAATTTGGAAGAGGTTGGAGCTAGACTACAGAAACCCCAGAGTGCTGTAAGCAGAGCTTAATGAGTTATTTTGGTGGGAGTGTGGAAGACCAGAATGGCAGTATAAAGGTAAACAGTAAAGACTGCTTGCTCATGGGGTTTCAGAGGGGAACCGTGGGATACTGGAGGTGTCAGAAACACTGGACCTTCACTGAGAAAAACATTCAGACACCAAATGGAGCCTCCCTAAGAAACAAGCCACATGAACCTCAGGTAACAGTAGAGGCAGGGGGCCACTTAAGGGCATTAGAACCCAGATGATACCACCAAAGTGCCCCAGACACCAGACACGGAGCTGTGAGCTTTGGTTTTTCTCTGTTTTCGTCTTGCTTAGGTACAGCCTTTTCTTACTATTCCCCATTATTCCCTTTTAGAAATGGGAATAAAGTTTATTCTATGCCATTGACTATTGGAGGTTTTTTTTTTTTTTTAATTTTACAGGGGTTCACAATTAAGTGATTGCCTTGAGAGACTTAGGAACAGTGTTGGGACCAGTAGACTAGTGACTTTTGAAAATGGACTAATGCATTTTGTACTCTGAGACCATGGGAATATAGGCATCAGCAGCAGAGTATTAAAGTTTGAATATAAAGTGTCCCCAATGGGCTTGTGTATTTAAGTACCTGGTCCCCTGCTGGTGGCACTGCTGTGAGGTTGTGGAAGCTTGCCAAGGTGGGGGTTTCACTGGAGGAAGTAGATCTGCTTCCTGTGTATTCTGTTTTCTAGCCTGCTGAGATGTGCTCAAGCTGCCTCATGTCCCATGACCACAGATGGCTTCCCTGCTACTATGGACATATACCGCCTCAAACTATGAGCCCAAATAAATCCTTTCTCCCTTAAGTTGCTTCTTGTGAGGTACTTAGTCACAGCAATGAGAAATAGATAGACAGATACACAGAATAATATAACTCTACTATCACTTCTACCCGAATTATCTAGGCTTTCCTAAAATGAGCAAGAGCCTTCTATTAATCCACTCACTGAGAATTCAGTACCTAAATATATATATTTAGGTACTGTGAAGGTACATGTAATTAAGATCCTAAATCTATTGTCTTTAATATATAAATGTGGGTTTGGCCACATGGTGTGGAATTTTTAAGATTTATTTATTTTGTGTGTATAAGTGTTTTGCCTGCATGTATATAAATGTACCACGTACATGCCTAGTGACCACAGAGACCAGAAAAGGGCATCAGATCCCCTGGAAATGAAGTTACAGATGGTTGTGAGTTGTCATATGGGTGACAGGAATGGAACTCCACAAGCACACCAAGCACTCTTAACCACTGAGCCATCTCTGTGGCTTCCAACATGGGCCTTTTAAAAGCAGGGTTTATTCTGACTAATTACCAAAGGGAATGCCAGTAATTCAGAAGGCAAGAAGGACTCAGTATGCTTCTGAGCACTGAAGATGAAACGGGACAAGCAGCAAGGAATGTGGGCAGCCTCTAAGAAATGAGTGTGACCCCAGCTGACAGGCACATGGTGGGGACCTCAATACTACAACCACAAAAAAAATGAAAATCTACTAACACCAAGAAAGATTGGAAACGATTTTCTCCAGAGTCTCAAGACAGGAATTCAGACCACATAACACCTTGATTTCAGCCTTGTGAAACACTGGGGAGGACCCAGCCTTGCTGCTAGATTTTGACCCATAGAAGGATGAGCTGATAAGAGTGTTCTTTTTGAGGGGGGAGAGGGGTCTTTTTGAGACAAGGTCTCCCTGTAGCCTCAGCTGGCCTGGAACTCACTATGTAGACCAGACTGACCTTGAACTCACAAAGATCTGCCTGCCTCTGCCTCCCAAGTGGGACTAAAGGCGTGTGCCACCACACCTGGCAGGAGTGTTCTTTTAACTACTCAATGTGTAATAATTTGTTATGCAACTGTAGAAAAATGAATATACTAGTTGGATCTGCTCCAAGACTTTTCTGAATTGAATTTTCTCTACACCAACACATCACTGTGCTTCACACTTGACCTTACCCAAAAGATTAAGAAGCAACAGTAATTGAGGGAGATTCTGAATAAAATATAAAAAGGAAAAGGAGTTATTTTTTCTTGCTAGCTTATGCTCACACCATAGTAAAGACTGTGTTCTTCTACCAACTGCTGCCATGAACTGTTAGCACCTACCAGTGAGTCTTATGCTGAGCAATCATATCAGCCTTGGAGTTAACATTATCTGGATCCAAAACCTGGTTCAGATGGTTTCTAACTGTGTGGCATTGGGGAAATCATTTAACTTCAATTTCTTCATTTATCATGATCAGTTTGGTGGTGAAGATTAAGTAAAATTAATGTGTGAAAGGGCCTAACATCTATTAGCTACCAAATAAATACTTTTTTTTTTTCTCCAAATACTTTCTAATCCTGCTACTGGTGTACTTTTACTGTTTCTTTTGTTGCTTTTCCATCACCTTATGCGATGGATGACATGAAAAATTACACATATGCTGAAAGCAATAAAATAAAATAAGATCTTGGGGAAGATATTTCTAGATACAGAGCAGGACCAAAGAGAAATTTGTGGAAATGAGTTAGTAGTAGCAACATTTCAACAGCCATGAGGTGATGGGAATAAATAATTAGGATCTTGCTGGGAAGGCAGTGCCTGAAGATGCCATTACTGGTTGGGGCTCTGGGTTAATGCCTTTCACCCCAGAGCTGGGGGAATGAGGATGGGGTAGGTAACAGTGTTATACAGGGACATGCACATTACCTAGTACTTCTAGAGTGACTGTGTCTTCCTCCAGGTTCTGGCCTTGCTCAGACGGAGCACTAACTTCACAACGGTACTTCCCAGCATCAGTTCTTGTAACATTTTTAATCCGTATACTGAAATCTATCATCTCAGCTCGATCTTTAAAATCCCCTTTAGGAATAAAAGATAATAATAATGTTATAAATAATATGAACAACTTCCTATGCAGTATCTTCCTCGAGTCACTTCATTCAATCACTAAAGCATTCATTTTCCTAGAAATAAATTTAATTTGCAACCTTAAAACATATATGTATACTATTACTTTAAATTACTTTTCTGGAGGACATTTTTAGACTATTCATGAAAACTAGTGGGGGTACAATAGGGAGCATGGATGGGGAACAGGTTTAAATTTGATTAAGAATTATTATATGAAATGCACAAAAACTCAATAAAAAAAATATTTTCAAAAATGAAGAGCTTGGTTTAATTGACCAGAATAGTAACTTTATATATGGTTGCCCAGATGACAGTACCCGAGAAGAAAAGGTAGGTGACAGGTATCTTTAAACCATTATCTTGATGGGATTGGAGAGATGGCTCAGCAGTTGAGAGCATTGGCTGCATTTGCAGAGGACCCCGGTTCAGTTCCCAGCACCCATGTGGCAGCTAACAACCTTCCATAATTCCAGTTCCAGGGGATCTGAGGCCTTCTTCTGACCTCTGTGGACACTGCATGACATGGGTGCACTTACGTCCATGTAGGCAATACACTCATACATATAAAATAAAACACTATCTTGATTACATTTTGATAGTAATATACATTGAATTAAAATGAGGTTTTTAGCAATATGCACATGCCTGAATTGGCAATTGTAGGAAAATTAATTGAAGATAGTTATGCTATCAACATTTTAAAGCTTTTTCTTAATGGATTAGAATCAGAGGGGATATTTCAAATGTTCGATGAATGGTAAACATTTTTTTCTACTTAATTCCTTAAAATTAAAGTAGCAAACAGTATTTTAAATAATAACATGTCTGTTGTCTTTGCTAAAAGAAATTTCCAATTTATAAAATATTTATGATGTAAAAATTCAACTAAATACAAAATTAGAAGGTAGAAGAAAAAGGCCCTCAGTGGACCCACTGTTCAGTTACGACAGTACTAGCTGCACGGTCACTTTAGTTCACCTGTACCCTTAGCCACTTGATAATTTTAGAATAAATCAATACCATAATATTTCATCTATCATTATCACATTTTAATTAAAAATATAACACATGTTTAATGGGAAGTTTAGAAAGTAAAAGAAATGTACCACAGATAAAAAGCACTTGCTAATGTTTATTGTAACTAGTTGTGGATAAGGCCTAGCTCCCTAGGCTTCTCAGTGATGGTCTTACTTTCTCTTTTTGTTTTTCTTTTTTGTTTTTGAGACAGGGTCTGCTTATATTCCCAGCTGGCCTGGAACTCACAGAGATCTACCTGCCTCTCCCCCCAGGTTCTGGGATTAAAGGTGTGTGCTACCATGCCCAGCTTGTAGCTTCACTTTCCACTAGGAAAAGAGGAACTAGGGTTAGGATATCATTACTGAACAGAGACCCCACATACCAATCTCACATCACTTTTATTTTCCTTCTTTAAAGAGTTTAATTTACTAGACCAGCAAATGATTTGCCTACTATAGGATTGAGCTAATAACTAAGGGTCCCTGGGACTCAATGGACGTCACCTACTTTTGTTCTCTGTCTTCTGTGTTTGTAGCTGTTGTATTTTAGGTCTCAGACACTATTCATTTTATCCCACACTTGCAGAAACACGTTTTCAGTAATCAGTCATGACCTGTTCTTGTTTGTAAATTAAAGGGTATGGGCTGTACTTAAGTGTTCTCTCACTCTGGCCTCATCAAGTCGACAGCTTCTTACCTTGGAGAGCCTGTTGGTAGTAGACAAAGGAGACACCCCGTCCCAGTTTCTTCCACTCTAATCTGGAGGAAGTGGTCTTCTTTGGGGTGTTACAGGCTAAAATAACCTCTAGGAACAATAGCAAAGATATCTGTTTTTTAATTATCTGTGTGAATTTATACCTTACATAATTAACAAGTTTTAAAACACCTTTAAATGGCTCCTTTACATTTCTGTCCATCCGTCTCCATCCACCTACCCACACATACATACATACACACACATACATTAATTATATCAACAGGTATCATGCTGGCTTAGCACACAGTTTAACTAGAGGCATTACAATGCTTCCATGAAATAATTATGTCACATGATCCTGCCCTTCCTAGTGCTTAAGCCTGAGTTTCCATCATTGAAATGAGACGGTAGCACACAGAGTTGTTGTGAGTCTTCAAAAGTAGCAATGTAGGCAAAATATGCAGGCCTAAACATGGTTAGTACTTAATAAAAAGCTGCTAGAATTATTTACTTTAATTTACTTTGTTACACTAAATCTCAGTCTTTGAGGAATCCATAGTTTAGTGGAAGTGGCAAATAATGTCATTTAGGGACAAAACTGATAAGCAACAAGAGTAAGGTCGAGGGAGCGTATTTTACACTTGTGTCTAAGAAAGGGACTTAGTATAGCCCAGGCTATGCTGGGAAACCCACAGACATTCCCTCGCAGGCTACATTCCCACTAAGATTCCTTTTTGTTAATCCTTTTATGAATATATTAATATATACCCAATACCGTCTTATACTAAATTGATTCCTACTGCCAAATAACTGCATATAACCTTGTCTCAACCTGATAAACTATTAAAAGATTAATCTTCACATCAGTCTACTGTCTACTTCAGTGTAGCTAAGTTTACTTTATTACAGTAAACTTACTACAGTTGCATCATTGGAGAATTCCTGGAACCTCTGAGGGAGCCACTTCTTTTGGCTGTCCAAATAAGATGACTGGGGAGGAAAGCCCAACGCTGCTCTTAAACTGCTTCAGGCTGCCAAACAGAACCGTCCAGTCATAAATAGTTTAAAAGTTTCAGCCAAGCTCTCTGAAATGCCAACTACATATTTCTGAATATTTTTCCCATAAGGCAAGGGGCTTGACCTGAAAGAGCACAGGGTCTTTGATGAAAAGAAAATTTACATTAAAATCTTTTCCATACCTCAGATTTTAAGAATATTTAATGTTATTTTTAAAATATCACAGATTTCATAAACACAGATAGCTGTGGACAAACTGTGTATAGCCATATATTTGAAAATTGCAATCCAGTGGTGAATGCTGTTTGATAGAATTAGGATTTTTTGTGATATGTAGTTCTAAATTTTTTAGTTGTACTTATATTGGCTAAAATAAAATATAATAGAAAATAGGACAGAGGAAAGAAAGGCAAGGAAAAAAAGAACCAAAAGCTGTTCTTAAGGATGCTTAGTTTTTGTCTTTCACAAGGGGTCATCATTTCACAGGGTGTTTACAGCTACACTACAAAGACAAATGTGCTAAAGGACTGTTTGAGGAAACAGTTCTGGTCTGTTGATTAAGGAGAATGGGTGGTAACTTCCGGAGTCTTGAGTTTTAGAAAGGTTTCCTTCCCGTATTTTGTTGAGTTTTCCAGCAATTACGCCCACACCCACACTCCTTTTCACCCGCTCTTCCCCTCTTACTCCTGCATCTTAGGGGTAATTGTATATTGTCCCACATTGTTTCATATATATAATTAAACATGCACACAAATACATCCCTTTTGCTAAATTCCATATGATTTCTGTCCTCACGGCTCTATGGAAAAACCTCTGAGGAAATGATATTAGAAAATGTAACTAATGATTTTCCCAACCCTAGTGACTCTTCTTTTGCCTCTTTCCCACTGACCATATATAATGTGAAGAGCTGATTTAGCCAGTTGTCCAAAATATGTAAAGTGATACTGCATGGCCAGTATTCTTGAGTTCTATCAGTGAGGAGAGCAAAGACCTTCCAGACCCTTTGGGATCTGACAGCCTGGTAGGGGAAGTCAGGCCAATAAGCGATACCATAACGGGATTACATGGTACCTCAAAAGGTCAGTGCTGTGAGATGAAAAAGAGTAAAGCAGTCTGGGAGATTTGGGGAGTGCTGGGGACAAGGACACTATTTAAAGAGCAGAGTAGTCAGAGATCACCTTTTAGAAGGTGACATGTAATCAAAGACTCTTAGAAGATAGAGGGGCTTTGTCCTACAGAGTCTATGAGAAAGAGTGTAGTGAGCAAGGAACAGTAGGGCCAAGACCCCTACAGTGTCAACACCTTGGTCCTGAGCTATTAGCCTACAGAACTGGGAGAGAGTGCGTTTCTCTTAAAGATATAGTATTTTGTTATGATAGACCCAGGAAATTAATACAGACAGTGAAAATACTGGAATTATGGGTCAACATCTCAGGATAAAGAACCTAGGCACCATCTCTGCTTTTCTTTTTAAACAAAATTCAAAAATCACAGCCAGCATAATTTTCTGTATCTAGATCCTGGTTACGGTAACAGTATTTCATAGCACAGGCTATCAAATTGGACCTCTGACACAATAGGCATGAAATGATGGAAATACTAGCTTTTCATGTGTATTATACTCACATCAATAAAAATAACAAGAAAAGTTCCTGTCAAAATTAAATGAGTTAATGTATGTACATACTTGGTGCACATTACAACTTGCATATAGTATGTGCTCCATAAATGGTCACTGTTCTTTTCACCATTTTGTCATTTTGTGTGGCTGTGGGGAAGCCACTGGACTTATGTTTGGGTGTGGACTTTCAAGCACAGGTGTGGATGGGATGCCCCACCCATCTTGGGGGCTCCTGGGCAGGACAAGGCACTTGATGGGTGAGAAGGCGACCTGCGGAGCACATTGGGAAAAAGGGGTGGAGCCACCGCCATGTCGAGCACCGGGAATGGACAGTGAGAGAGAGGGGCAGTGGGAGATAGATGGCATGGGCATTTCAAATACGGAAAAGGAAAGGCCTTTAAGAATCTATGTTTTCATAAGTCACCCCCTCCCAAATGTCATATAAACTATGCAAAATCCAAATAGAATGTCTTATGTTGGTTCCTCAATCTGCGTCAGGACCTGGAGACCCTAAAGTCCTCAGAAGGTGTGCGAGGGTCCTCCAGGGAGGGAAAAGGGAAAAATTTAGTGAAACATTATCCATGAGAAACTTTTCTTTAGTTGCAATTGCAAGCTTGCCTTCACAGGATGGAAACCCATACTTGATACTACCACAAATCTACCTTAAATTGCCAAAATCTGAACTAAAATGGTACTTCTGTTTTGGAAAAATAGTATTAACATAAATCATACTTATCTATATTAACACATAAAAAGATGCCAGCCTTTTCTATTAAGGTGGATTACACTGTCAAAACATCTGATTCATCTAGATGGAGGAAGGGTAATTGTTTAAGAAAATGCTTGCTATTATAATTCAGGGTTGGATGCTGAGAGAGGCTGCTCATGTGATTTACCAGCCTCGGGGAGCTGCCCTGATGTTAGTCCCAATCTCCCTTTGGCACTGCCATGGGAAGTGAGACTGAGCAGCAGCCCTGAGAAGCAGGGATTAATTCACAAGTTTTTGACATAAGAGAAACAAGAGGGGAAAAAACAGAACGAAGTGGATGGAATGCATATATACACATAAAAATCACAAAATATCATAGACTTGAAGTCACCACAAAAATACCCTAAAATAAAAATTTGGAAGAAAATAGAAATTTATTTTTGCTTAATGTAGAGCCAATTGGAATAACTAGGACACAGACAAAAAAGAATTAAAGTGCATCCTAATTAAAAAGAGCAAAGATTAAACAAGAAAATAGTAAACACTTATTTTTGGAGTTAGGCTGGCTTTTTGTGTGTGTGCTGCATGTTAAACTCAGGGCCTCACACATGCCAAGCATTTGCTATACCATCCAAGCAACTTCTCACTGAGCAATAACTTCATCCCCAAGACAAACATTTGACTGCAATAAATTATGGAAGGGGGCTGGAGAGATGGCTCAGTGGTTAAGAACACTGACTTTTCTTGCAGAGGACCCAGGTTCAAATCCCAGCACCCACATGGCAACTAACAACTGTCTGTAACTTCAGTTCCAGGGGATCCGACAGCCTCTTCTGTCCTCCACAGGCATTCCACAACACCGGTGCACTTACTTACATGCAGGCATAACACTCATACACATATAATAAAAATAATTTTAAAATATTAAAAAAATAAATTATGGAAGGTTTTTCTACATTAAAAATAAAGTATGCACTTAAAAAGCACTGTAAGTGGGCATAGGCTTTCATTTTGGAGTACTGGAAATGTTCTGGAACTCGGTAGAGGTCATAGTTTTAAAGCACTGTAAATATACTAAATGCCATTTAAGTATTCACATTTTAAAAGGTTAGATTTCAAAAAATATTTTTATTATTGTTATTTTATGTGTATGAGTATATTGCCTGTATGTGTGTAAGAATATCTGTGTCATGCAATGCTTGTGGAGGTCAGAAGAGAGCATCAGATCCCATGGAACTGGAGTTGTTAGCTGCCATGTGGGTGCTAGGAATTGAACCCAGGTCCTCTGAAAGAGCAGCCAGTGCTCTTAATCACAGAGCCATCTCTCCAGCCCCCAGATTTTGTTAGATAAATTTTTCCTCAATAAAAATCTTAATGTAGTATAAGAATAAAGAATATAATCTTGGCATTTTAACTGCGATATCATGACATGGAGGCCAATAGCATTCAGCTGGACTGGGGGTAACAACCTCCAGGAAAGTGAGCAGTGGGGGCAGGGGTGCATTTCAGGTCCTTTGCCCCAGGACATCCTCTCCCACTGTGCATACTTTTGACCTTTCCACCCTCCTTTCTGACATCTTGCCCAGCTCTGTTTACCCTCTTGTAAGTACTCCATAGTCCAAATTTCTCAGGCATTGATTATCTCTTAACTACCTCCCTCATTTGAAACTCACCCACAATAAAATGCGCCTTATTACTTTCATAGTGTGATATATTACAACAGAAAAGGCTCAAACTGAAATATTTGCTTTTGTTATACCACCCCAATCTTGTACTGCCTGGGTGACCTGAGTTTCTACCCACTTCAATCTTTCTTATCTTTGAGGACAGGATACCTGAAGGCCCCAAATCCTTCTTCAAGTGGACTGACCAAAACTGACCTGATGTAAGATGACTTCAAGAGTCAGAGAAGCTCCAAGTTGATTACCATGCATCTGCATTTTAAATTATATGCAGTCTTGGGCTGGAGAGATGGCTCAGTGATTAAGAGCACTGGCTGCTCTTGCAGAGGACCTGGGTTCGATTCCCAACACCCACATGGTGACTAACAACCATCAGTAATTCCAGTTCCAGGGGATCCAATGCCCTCTTCTGACCTCTGTGGACATTGCACAATGGGTGCATTTAATGTGTGCAGGCAATGCACTCAGACACATAAAATAAAAATAATAAATAAAATATTTTAAATGATATGCAGTCCGAACACCATGACAGATGATTAAGCCACAACAAGGACTGAAACAAACCATAAAAAGAGGGAAAAGAGGTAGAGCCCCAATCCTGGAACCTCTGCCCATTTTCAGAAAAGACACGAACATTCTTCACCTTTATTACTCTACACCTGCCCTCATTTATTTTACTCTCTCTATAGCCTCCTGGTCCCCAATTGGTGGAGAAGTTGATTGGTGGGTTCATCTCCCAGGGCTCCTATTCTTGGCAAGAATAAAATCTGCTTCACTGTTCAACCACTTGCTCTATGTTACCGGTTTCACAATTCTGAGTGGAAAGAAGAATCCAGTTTGGAATCAGAAACTCGTAACACTTTTTTTTTTATTAAGCAATAGATTTAATAGCACATATAACATTTATATACAAAGCACAATTGTAAGCATTACCTAAATATTAGATAATTTAATTTCCCCACACCAGAATCTTCTTTAGACAAAGACTAAAGAATAGATTCCCTCTAAATCTACTGCCATCTCTGGCAATAGAACCTTTAGAACCAGTTTCTTAAGTGTTTATAATCTCTGTCATAAACAAGCAATGCATTTAAGAAACAGTCATTATTTCTGTTTACTTAGTATTACCAATTGAATTTTAGGCAAAGACTTGTTTGGAAAAGGATGATCAGAAAAGAAAACTTGTAGAAACTCTTAAGTACTATTTTTCATTATTCCTTTAAATACTGTTACAGTGCCACAATATATAAATTTGCCATTAAAATTCTTTTAAATTCCATTGTAGTTATTTATGTGTGTGCATGGGTGTGTGGAGGTCAGAGGACTATTGTGGCAGTTGGTTCTCTCTCCACCATGTGGAACATGGGGATTGACCTCAAGTGTTCAGGCTCTGAAGCAGGCACATTTACTCACTGAGCCATCTTACTGGCCCCATCTTAGCCACTTTTACTGCATAATTAGCGTTAATACTGTTGTGCATGTAATGATCTTCAGAACTTTTTCATTTTGCAAAACTCAAACTTTATACCCATTAATTAATTCCTCTTTATTCAGTTTTAAGAAATTACAATAAGTAAGAAATGACACTTCTAAATAGGCTACATCAACACCATCTTAAATATACAGGGTGGGGTTTGAAGAGTTAATTTCCACCAAGTACGTCTAACTAGCTAGAGACCATTCAAGGTTTCCATCTTCCTGTTTCATAAATAAGATTACTTTGTTGCAGATAATTGATATATATGTTTTTGGTCCTTCATTAATTATCCGAGAGTTTCACTGGAGAGGTGAAGAAAGAGTGGTCACGCAGGGGGAGACAGCATGGAGTGGAGTAACTCACATGGAGTAATGGGGGGCACTAAGATGGCTCAGTGCATAAAAGGGACTGGCCACCAAAGCCTGGAGACTAGAGTTTGATCCCTGGAACCCATGTGTAAATGGAAGGAGAGAACTGACTCTACAAAGTTGTCTTCTGACCTCTCTGATGCCCCCTACCCAACATCAAACATGGGGAGGGGGGTGGCTCAGAAAATCTTAACAAATAGTAGGACTATCATATATAACATCCTCATGAGATATTTAAGCAATACGGTTCCTTTGTATCTACAAGCTGTCATACCTTGGTACTCTATTGCTGTGACTGTTTCGCGGTCCTTTGGTATAGAGAATCCATACGCCTTATGATCTGAAAGATTAAAACAAATGGATAGTTAATATGAAAGCTCATATTCAAATCTTTGAGAGGGATACAATGTTCAACAAAACTGACCTAAATTGAATAATAATTTTACATAATTCCCAACACATAAATTTTAAAATAGCAAAATAAGGAAACCATACCACATATGTCACTTCCACTTTCTTTATGGTGGCTTGGGTCTTTAAATATTTCCCAAGCAGAATCTATGGCAGACAACAAATTTTCACAGGTCCCCACAGCAGACAATAAACTCTCCCTAGGAACACTGAAAATAAGAGCTTATTTTCTTAATTCACCTTATTATGCAATGTAGCATCCATCCATCCATCCATCCATCCATCCATCCATTCACCCAAAAACAGCTTTTCAGACTTAAGTATCTCCTTTTCAAAAAATATTTATTATTTTATGTGTATGCATGTATTGCCTGCATGTAGGTAAGTGCACCCATGTCATGCAGCACAGAAGAGGCTGTTGGATCCCCTAGGAACTGGAGTTACAGACAGTTGTTAGCTGCCATGTGGGTACTGGGATTTGAACTCAGGTCTTCTGCAAGAACAACCAGTGTCCTTAACCACTGAGCCATCTCTCCAGTCTCAAGTATCGCCTTTTTATATAGCCTTTTATCTTTTCATTGAGTCAATTACAGTTTGTTTGGGGAAGGCGAAGAAAAAAAAAAAAAACCTCTTGTGCTGGATAGCTTTAGTGTCAACTTGACACACCTGGGTTGAGGGAGCCTCAATTGGGGAATTGCCTTCATTGGACTGGCCTGTGGCCATGTCTGTGAGGCATTTTCTTGATTTTCCAGTGATGTGGGAGGGCCCAGCCCACTGTGGGTGGTGCCATCCCTGGGCAGGTGGGCCTGTGTTGCATAAGAAAGCAGGCTGAGCAGGGGCCAGGGGAGCAAGCCAGTAAGCAGTGTTCCTCCATGGCCTGTGCTCCAGCTCCTGCCTCCAGGTTCCTGCCCTGAGTTCCTACCTTGGGGCTCCCTGATGAACTGTGACCTGGGAGATGTAAGAAAAATAAATCCTTTCCTCCCCAAGTTGGTAGTGGTCAGAATGTTTTGTCACAGCAATGGAGAAACAAACTAAGACGCCTCCCAAATCCATATCACCAGCTCTGATCTTTCTTCTGAGATGAAATCCACATACCTCCCTTTCTACTAGACAGCTCTATTTCCATTTCCTATTTGCACCACAAATTCATGGGCAAAAGTAACTCACCAGCTTTCTTGTAAGCTTTCTACAAACTTCATTACAGGGAAAGGCATCACAATGCATAGGGGTACTCATGCCAGAATCTCACACATTGCTTAGGATACATCTAGCCTTGTACCCATATAGACTGAGAAAGTCTGTCACCCATGACAATGCTTTGGAATATTTGTTCTTTTTTTCTTCTTTGACCTCTATGTCATTCATGAATATTTTTTTGTCTCAGGGGGATTTAAATAGCCAAAACCAAAGAAAAAAAGAGGTCATTTTTATTTACCTCAGCATAGTAAAAACCCTGGTCATGAGAGACATGGAAAAGTTTGATAGCTTAGGCACTTTGAAGAGAAACCACCATGACTAAAATATACCCGCTCGCCAGACTTGCAATAGAAAGGAGGAAGTGAGTTGGAGAATCTGGATCTTGGCCAACTAGAGTGAACAATGGCTGACATTTAAGTCCTTGGGTGTCAGGAAACATCTCTAGTGCTTTTAAGTATTAACTTATTCAAGTCTTATAATAATTATCTGTGGTAAGGTGATGTTATGGTTTGAATATGAAATGTTCCCCCACAGGCTAGGTCTCCAGCTTGTGATTTTATTTTGGCGGGTTCTAGAAACTTTAGGAGGTTATGACCTAGGTGCAAGGACTAGATCACTGGGGTGTATTATTGGAGCTTTCTTATCGTTGGCCTTTTCTGGCTCCTGCTTTCTGCTTCCTGTCTATCACAGGGCAAAGAAGTTCCTCCATCCCCTGATCAAGTTATCATGATGTCCTGCCCAAGCTCATTGGGCCAACCAACCATGAAACCATAAAATGATGAGCCAAGATAAAATTTTCTTACTGTATTTTCTCAGGTACTTTGGTTGCAGGTATGCGAAAGTTGCTAATATAATACCCACAGCCCACCATTACTTACTCATATACTGGACACCACACCGTTTCCTCCAAGCTGAACTATGAACAAGCACTGTGGGTTAACAAAGATGCCAGATGGAAAGGTCCAATAGTCTATGGTCCAAGTCTACTGAAGGCAGGATGGGGGGGTGGAGTTAGTATTAAGGAAGGCAAAGGACAACAGGAAGGTGGCAGTGAAAAGACTGTGCCCACTGACAGAGGACACCATGGGACTCTCAGGAGGCTCTTGACCAGGGTTTTTCCATACTGACTCTATGACCTTTGAGATCAGATAGTTCTTTGTAGAGGGCTGCCCTGTGCACTGTCTTGTGTTTGCCTCATACTTCTCCCTACCAGATGTGGTGGCATCCCATCCAAGTCATAACAACCAAAACTGTCCTTAGAGATTGATAAACAAATGTCCCTGAGATGGGGTGTGGAAATCGCTCCTGGTTGAAAAGCCCTACTTCAGTTAGGCTAGCCTGAAGAACCAATATAGAAATAAACCAATGGACTAAAGGAGAGCAGAGAACAACGATTCAAGGTTTCTGAAAGTTCTGGTGAAATTGGGATTCTATAATTATGAGAGATAATGTATTCTACTTCTGTGAAGGAGAAAAAAAATCTTCACGTGAGATAGCAGCTTTCCTTTGACTTATTTATATTGGTGCTTCAGTGCTTCAACATGAAAATTAGACCTTATCACTCCTAAGGAACATAAGCCATTAAGGAGAAATTTTCTGTTTTCCTTTTCATCATCCTTAGACACATAGGCAGCAAGTTCCTTTGCAAATTAGAACTCCTCAGGTCCACAAGACTTAAGTTCTAGTTCCCCTAAACTACTCAGGTTTTTTTATTTTTTCAGTTGAATATTGTATTAGAGTTCTCTAGAGAGACAGAAACAATAGGATATATAGTTATATATGCATGTATTTGTATACATGCACATGATTCATTATAAGGAAGTGATTCATGTGGTTGTTGAGGCTGAGACCAGCAGCCTGGCATTTGCAAACTGGGGACTCAGGAAAGTCAGTGCTGAGAATTTTAGTTTGAGTTGAAGGCCTGGGCAGGTTTTATATTCCAAGTTGTAATTGTCTCCATTTTGGAGATGGGTAACCCTGGTCTGGTACAAAGAATGTAATCCATTGATTCTTGTAACTAATGGTTGCAAATGCAAATATGTGTGTGTATGGCAGTAGGCCACTGGGGTTGTGTCCGGTGTCACAGAGAGGTATCAGAGCCACTGAAGAGTCACTTTGAAACTACGCTCTTATTTCTGTATTTTAAGAACCACAAACCAGGTCAGAATAATCTCTCTAATCTCCTGTCCCCATTTCCCACAGACCTCCTTCCACTGAAACCTCCCACTTCTCCCCTCCCCAATACTGTTCTTTCCCACCTTCTCTCCTCCCCAATTTTATTCTTTAAGGTTCAAAGGCAGAATCTGGCTCTTTAAAGATCATAAAAGTCAAGACTATTATAGCCAAACCAGAATCCTTGTAGGTGAGCTTAGGAAAAGGCAGGAGCTTCTTATGTAGTCCTATATGTAATGATAAAAATCTCTTGACATTCTTGTAATAATTATGATTCCAAACTTGAAAGTTTTTGAAACTTTCAAAGGACACTTTGAAAAAGTATCTTTTCCCCTTTGACAAGAGCAGCTCTTAATTATGACTGACAATTTTTGAAGTATTTCTGTATAATTTTTAGACAAAACAATAAAGACCGATATTCCCTGGAAACCAGTGAAGGGGAAATCTGGGCAAAAGAGGAAGAGATAATCTTTGTTCCCTGCACATTGTCCTATCTTTGAACTTTTCAAATACCACACTGCCTACTGAGAATGTTTGTTTTCTTCAGCTGGCTCTGGTTGTCCTTCATCATGGAAAATTTTAATATAATCTGAGAGTGGAAGATTTAGGAGCTAGGTTCCAGGACTCAATGAGAAAGTGAATTTTTTCTGCTTTTCTCAATTCCAAGTTTCTACTTACTGAAACTTCTCTTGAGGAATATTTTAGAATTTTTTGAAGATCATTAAAAAGTATATAGAAAATAACAGAACATTAGGAATTTTACTCATTCTTTCATAAATCATATCTAAAAGGTTTTAAATATTTACTATTCAGTTATTTTTAATTATAATTTGTCTTTATTCTGAAGTATCTTATACATGTATATGACAAAATGTGGTCCTACCCATCTACTTCCATTTCTGCACTCAAACTCCACCAGTACCTCTCTAACACATCCCCCTCCCAACTTCATGTCTTTTTTTTTTTTTTTGATAACACACTAAATCCGGTTAGTGCTGCTGATATGTGCATGGGTGTGGGACCACATACTCTTCTGTTCAGGCTTGTCTCAAACTCCTAGGATAAAGCAAACAAATCTTTTTGTTTGTTTTTGAGACAGGGTCTTATGTAGCCCAAGCTGGACTTGAACTAGCTATGTAGCTGAGGATGACCTTGCACATCTGATCCTCTTGCTTCCACCTCTCATGTACTACGATTACAGGCACACACCATCACTTGATTTTAAGCAAACCATCTTACATGCATGTATTTAAACAGAGAAAGAAAGTAAAAAGTGTCTAGACACCAAAGAAGTTGAATTGGCAAAATAATGAGGGTAAAAACATTACAATAAGGATTAGGAATGTTTTGTTTGTATAGTTTATTTACTTAGGTTTTTTTATTATTATTTTATTTTCTGTGTATGACTGTATTGCCTGCATATATGTAAGTACACCCATGTTGTGCAACACCCAATGCAGAAGTCAGAAGAGGGTGTCAGATACCATGGAACTGGAGTGATTTATGGACGATTGTTAGTTACCATGTGGGTGCTGAAAACGGAACCCAGGTCCTCTGCAA